TTGAAAATCATTCCTGCCAAACAAGGTATCTGGGATATGTATAGGCTCTCTTGACTGTTGAGCGTTCGGTCCAACTCCTAACAATCCATATCCCCATGAGAACACTTGGCCTGCATCATTCACAGCGAGACAGAAAGACCCACCACTTGCGACACTTTTAATTTTGCCAACTTGTTCAAGCATCCTCACATGTGTCGGCACTGCTACCTGTTGGCTTCCATCTGGTAATGTCAGCTGACCATATTCTGTGTTTCCCCAACCAAAGACTTGTCCTTTGTCATTCACAGCTAAGACGAAATCTGAACGACTTGCAAACTTCACTATGTTTTCACTGTCAATATCACCTTTTACTCTTGTGAACTCAGTAGTGTTATCATAGTGACCTAAGCCTGTTTGTCCATCTGCCCCCCAGCCACACGAGTACACTTTTCCTTTTTCTGTAAGAATTAAACTGTGATCTTGACCGCATTCGACATCAACAATCCTTTCTCCTTCTATGTCTTGTATATGGTGGATATAATTACTGATAGCATAGTTTTCATCAGGTATTATTTTCCTGCCACACTGACCATAAGCATTGTTTCCTAATGTAAAAATGCCTTCATCTGTTAGAATGACTGAATGTGCTCTTCCAGCTGATATTTTGAGCACCTTGGATTTTGTAGGATTTTGGAAAGGTAAATTTATCGCCCTTGGGTCATAAAGGATTTCCAAAGGATGGCCCTGTCGCACTTCATGGTAGCCTATTTGCGAGTCTGTATTTATCCCGCATCCATATACTTTATTTTCATCTTCACTGTTCACAGCAAATAAAGTGAAACCAAACCCACATGCTGCAGAGGTGACTTCATGTTTTTCACCAAAGGTTACACGTCTTGGAAACTTTATAAACTGTGTGAACTCCAAATTTTGGTCGTTTTTGTAATAAGGCAGACCTAAGCCACCTGTATGTAGGTTACCCCAGGCAAATACTCTTCTGTAATTGGGCTTACTGACTGTGTATTGGAAAACAGGAAGTTCCTTTGCCTCTTCTTTGTTGACTGGATATTTTCTTTTGGGGCCATGCAGATATCGCTTACCGACTAAACTAAAGTTAGCTCTACTTGCTAGATGCTTGAGAGTTTTAGACATAATAATTAGCTAAAGTTGTCTAAAGTGGATAATTAAGTTTCCATAATCATTATTTTAAAGATTTAAAAGATTAACACGTACAGCCGATTGAGAGGTTATGTTTATTGACAATTGCTTCACACTTCAAACGCATATGACTGACGACAGAGAACAATCTGCATAGAACTGGACTGCTAGACCCAAACTTGTCCTCATTTATAGAATGTGATGATCTAAATAATTTATAATTTGTACTCAACTAAGTTATTTTATTCACATCCACTCGTATAGCCAAGCACTAACGCTGCTTCAAAAATTCATCTTTTGATCTCACTGATCCCACGAATCATTTTAGGATAATACTAACGTTTCGACTGCCCCTTAGCTTTTTGTAAGGTACGGAGTCAAAAAAGATAGAAACGTATCAATTTTTTAAGTTGAAGTTATCTGCTCCTAATCCATGGCTTGACCGATATTGCTAGGACAATGAGAGTTTTTCATTGTCAAACAATAAATTTATTTCTATATTTTGATTACAGATTCGATTGTTCCGTTTATACGAAACAACTGATAAGAATGAAAAATATATAGATTTTATTTTTTCAATTTGATCTATCGAAGCTGGTAGCAGGGGAAAGATAATCTAAAATGGTAGACAAAAACACTTCTCTTTCAAATGTGATTCTGAGTGTCGCACTCAACTGTATTTGTGGCTTGTGACAACCAAGTTTCGAGCTCTATAATCAAATTCAAGCGGATAACCAAATGAAAATGGTATTTACCATTTTGGATTGGTATTTACCGATCCGTTCAAGCGAGTGTGGTTATCAGTTTGGTTATAATATCTGTGACGTCATGAATCAGCTGTTATATGTCATAGTTATCACCGCAAAATTGTGGTATTTACCCAACTCAGGAGTAGTTTTATATTTCTGGTTATTATTTGACAAGTAACAAGTTAGAATTTTGCCGGGTATTGGATATTTTTATTGTACTTCAGCTTCATTTTTGGGAAACTTGATACAGGCCGACTTCAGTTTTTGCATAAAGTAGAGCACCTTATAATCATTACTGTTGTTGGGGAAACTTTAAATCTAGTTCCTATGCTTAACAAAGTATCCTGTGTAGCCATATACCACAAGAACATTAAAATATGGCCATATAAACTCACTGGATGATGTCCACCTGTATGCGGTTCAGCTAATATCTTTTTTTCATCGCTTTTTCCTACCATTTCTGCTAAATCAATAAATGATTTCTTTGACATGCGGAAAAGTTTAGAGAATTGAAAGTTATCATAGTTACAAAGTCACGGCTCCATCATTAAAACATTTTTTTTCTGAAAAAAAAAAAGATGTCTTTCATTAATATTGTTAAAGGTTTCTTTTTTAATCTTTCCATACATTGTTGTAGACGAAAACACACCGATTATTAAGTGATAATAAAAATAATCAGAAATTATATACGAGCTTCTATAAAATAAACAACTTGCAACAAAACCGCGGTTGAAACCAACGCGTTCAAGCGATTCGAGTAACTGACGTCATCAACCCGTGTGTCATCTTGAACCATACTATAATCAAATCCAAGCGAATAACCAAAATTTCTGTGTTATGTGCCGCGTTTATAATATGGTTCAAGATGACACACGGGTTGATGACGTCACTTACATGAATCGCTTGAACGCGTTGGTTTTAACCGCGGTTTTGTTGCAAGTTGTTTATTTTAGAAAAGCGCGTATATAATCTCTGATTATTTTTATTATCACTTAATAATCGGTGCTTTTTCGTCTATAACTGTATATGGAAAGTTTAAATAAGAAACCTTTCATAATATTCATGGGAGAAATGTTTTTTCATTTTTTTTTTAATGATGGAACCATGGCTTTGTAGCTACGAGTATGATAACTTTCAATTCTCTAAATTTTTCCGCATGTCAAAGAAAACATTTATTGATTCAGCAGAAATGATGAAAAAAGAAATTAGCAAAACCGTATACAGGTGGATATCATCTAGTGAGTTTATATGGCCATATTTTAATATTCTTGTGGTATATGGCTGCACAGGATACTTTGTTAAGCATAGGAACTACATTTAAAGTGTCCCCAACAACCGTAATGAGTATAACTAATAAGGTGCTCCACTTTATGGTAAAACTGAAGTCAGCCTGTATCATTTTTCTCAAAATGAAGCTGAAGTACAATAACAATATCCAATACCCGGCAAAATCCTAACTTGTCACATTTCAAATAATAACCAGAAATATAAAACTACTCTTGAGTTGGGTAAATACCACAATTTTGCGGTGATAACTATGACATATAACAGCTGATTCGTGACGTCACGGATCTTATAACCAAACTGGTAACTACACTCGCTTGAACGGATTGGTAAATACCAACCCAAAATGGTAAATACCATTTCCATTTGGTTATCCGCTTGAAATTGATTTATAACCGCGATACATAACAGAGAAATTTTGGTTATTCACTTGGATTTGATTTTATGATTTATGTGATGTGCGGTAAGTCTGGGTCAGTGCTACCAAGTCTACCGATTTTTCGGAATATCTACCACATTCTAATGAACTGAAACTCACCCTGTTATGATGTTGTATGACAATATGCATAATGCATATTAGGTGCTACCTAGTTAGGGATATTATTTTACTGTAATTTAAATAACAATCCTATGCTACTCTTGATGTTACTCCAAAATATCCAGACGTACACCATTTATACACATGGAACCCTACAATATAAATAATTGTTTTATGTTTATGTGCAAATTAGTAAAAATACAAATTTGCATAAAACATGAACACCACCAGTGTCTTATTGTTTTGTTTGCTCTTGCACGTATAATGGGATTATTTATCAGAATCACCTTTAGCTCTTTGGCAGACATTGCTACGCCTCAAATTGTATATAGCTCCATTGGTATTCGTCAATATTTTATAATTCTATTCAAAACCTCCTTTTTTTACATTCTAGGAAAATAGTAGAGGCAGCAAAATCGTCCGATGAGCTGGCAACACCGCAATCTAAGTGACAAGAATCACAAGGTCAGCTGTCATGTCTATCCCGGGGTACCGATGGACTCACTTAGACCGTCAAGTGGCAATATTCCAATTTTCATTTGCATCTTTTTAAGTGTTGTGTATTGTGTAACGATTTCGGCAAAAACTTCGATACGGATCTTCTAGGGTCTTGTAGAATACATTTCAACAATTGTCTTTCGTGGCCATGTTATCTTTACTCGGACCTAAGCAAGATGCCCCACTCTTCAAATTTTAATCCCTGTCAAAGTTTTGCTTTTTGGTTTAATGTCTACGGAAATCTACCAAAAAATTTCTCGCAAATCTATGGAAAACTGACCGACTATACTTGGCGACAATAATCTCGGCAGTGTTGCCGACCCTACCAATATTTCTACCGAAAACGTCTTCATTTTCCTTCCTTAATTCAGATAGGTATTTCTGTATTTTTTTTACCGAAAAAAAGCTGGAACTAATGATAAAACTGAAGAAATAAATCTGTGTAATCTTTGTAGTTTTATGCCCTATACAGTCTGATAGCTCACCGTCATTCCAAAGTTCGTCTATACTTAATTGAATACTAAATTAAATGGTCAGGTGATGAGACTAAGAGAGTCCAGTACGCTCATTGTACTAGTTGTAATGAAGAACTCAAGTTTTTTAGGAACAGGTGCCCCCCAAAAAGCAGCACGGCCCTTGATAAATCGCTGATCTTGTGAAGGTCTTGGCTGTTTCCTACTACCAATTTTGTCTTTGAATCTACAGAATTTCAAGGACATTGAAGGGATTTTGTCTTTTTCGGTTCGGCAACACTGGGTCTGGGGTATGCCAATCACGTCAAACGTCAACGTAAAGTACGTGGGAAAATGTGGTGATAGTCAGGTGATAGTCTAAGAGCCGGTTTTCTAGAAAATCTAATTTCTTCGAATTAAAAGTAATCTGTTGGCTTACCACCATGGTGAAACTTACCGCAGAATTGGTACAAAACTCTATGCAGTATATAAATGCTGTAAAAGATCGAGAACTGGATTTGAGAGGTAGCCGGATAAGACGCCTATTTTATAGGTTATGTTGGAGCATCTTTACCTTTATCTTTTTTGTTTTTCAGGATATCGAATACCTGAAATAGAAAATTTGGGGGCCACCGGCGACCAGTTTGATACAATAGATTTCTCAGACAATGATATTAGGAAATTAGATGGGTTTCCATATTTGAAGAGGTTGAAATGTCTTCTGATGAATAACAACAGAATTGTGTAAGTCCCTTTGCCACCCATGAATTAAAAGTAAGTGTGTACGTTTTCTAATTCTGTACATGTTTCAGTCGGGCTGGAGAACATCTTGAAGAATATATCCCAAACTTGGAAACACTCGTTTTAACAGGCAATCAGCTTGATGAGCTTAGCGATATTGAACCGTTAGTGAAGCTAGAAAAGCTGACAACCTTGAGCTTAATGTTCAACCCCATTACAGCTAAACAGCACTATAGGCTGTATATAGTATATAAGTTGCCTCAGTTGAAACTGCTCGATTTCCGGAAAATCAAGAAGAAGGAGAGAGATGAAGCGCAAGCTTTGTTCAAGAGTAAGAAAGGGAAGGACATACAGAAGGAGATCCTAAAGAAAGCAAAGACCTTTGTGCCTGGTGGTAACATGAACAATATTGCTAAACAGAAAGGTATGAACATATTTTGAGAAAAAAGTCTTGTAATGAGATCTTAGAGCTCAAATGGCTGTTAATTCCTGGTTTTACCACATTTAATTTAATACTCCAGGCTCGTCTATGAGTGTAGCCGGCAAGTTACAGATATCCATATTAACCAAATTATATAATGAATTTTTTTGTTTTCTTAGTTTAGTGGAAACTAATTTGATAATACAGAAATATTTTTCAGTAATATCTACTAATGTAGACAATTTGCATTTGTTTTTTCTTTATAGGATTAACTGAGGATGAAGTTAGGAAAATAAGACAAGCAATCAACAATGCAAAATCACTGGAGGAAATGGAGAGACTACAGAAAATTTTACAATCAGGACAAATCCCAGGAGATAAAAGTAATTCTGGTAAGTTTCCTTCATATTAGCTATTATATATCTTCATGAACTTTTTACTTGATATAAGGCTTGCTATTCTTCAATAATTCAAAGGACAGAGGGCATATAAAACCTGAGAAAAGCAATTGTAACTCCTAGGATTTTGGGTGCGTCATCTATTACTTTTTTTTTTACCTATAAGTTTATGTGTTACCATGTGAGTCAAAAGTCATGTTTTATGCATAAATCAACTGTTAAAGGTATGCAATTTATAGTCGTGGATTTGTTTAGAACACAACAACGCATTTTGGTTATCCAAACTTATTACGAAAAAGGTCAAAATATAAAAAATACTTTTCGCAAACTTTGCACTACTTTTGGCCGACATGGATGCCCCACAGTGCCTGGAATTCCTGAATACCAACATGCTCGTAATACAAGAATTGAAGCCGGCAGACCATCAACAGCGGCGTGTTTTTGTTAATTGGATGCTGGAAAGAGAAGACCGATTTTCGGCCAAAGTGCTCTTTTCTGAGGCGGCTCATTTTCACCTCAATGGGTACGTAAATAAGCAAAATTGCAGTTTCTGTGGGGCTGAAAACCCACACCAATATCATGAACAACCTCTCCATCCTGCAAAAGTGACTGTTTGGTGCGGATTATGGGCTGGTGGCACCGCTGACCATTCTTCTTTGAAGATGCCGAAGAAAGGGCCATTACCGTCAACGGGGAACGTTATCGCGGCATATTAACAGACTTTTTGTGGACACAATTAGATCGTATTTGTGCCGACGATCTTTGGTTTCATCAAGACGGAGCAAACGGCTCACACATCTCGCCAAACAATCGCCTTATTGCACACGAAATTTCAAGACCGCATAATTTCACGAAATTCGGATGTCAGTTGGCCCCCGAGATCGTACGGTTTAACACCTCTTGACTACTTTCTTTGGGGATTTTTAAAGTAAAAGTGTATGTGAATGGTCCCTGGATAATTCAAGACTTAAAGCGCAATATTCGGACTGAAATTGCGGCCATAGACCCGATTATTCTGGGAAAAGTCATTGAAAATTTTGATGTTCTGATGTTGGCCTGTAAACGAAGCCGCGGTGGTCACATGACTGATGCTATTTTTCATACATAAATGGCATAAACCAACCTTCATTTATCAATAAAAAAAATCGATTTCACCTCGTAAAAAGCGTGTTGATTTTTCAAATAGAAAAAAAGGTAATCGATGACGCACCCTGTATTAGCATTGAGGAAAATATACTATGTTCCATATTGAATCATATTTATGAATTTAATAATGAATAAAACATTGAACACAAAGACGACTAACGCAGGAGGGTAGTTTTTGATGTCATCTTTTCCTGTATCTACATCTTTTTGTTTTCATATAAAAAAGTAGTTATTGTTTTGATAATTGTAAGGGTCTGTAAATATTGTGCTCGAATGTATCTTATGTTGCTCTGATTGAAGAACAAACTTGATATGCTATTAACAATGGATATCTTTCCAGAACTGAATGGCGACGCTATGGAGACCTAGTAACATGGTTATTGGTAAAGTATAGCGGCATGACTCCTTTCATAATTAATTTTTTGTATTATATAGGATAAGCTGTTTAAACATATTACGCTGATAAGAACTGAACATCATATTGTTCAAATATGATACTACAACTGGTTAAAACAGAGGCTAAGATTTGATGTACGTTCTATTTAACTTGAATTGAATAAACATGTGTTAATTCATTCCAGGGATATTTGCTGAACAACGAATATGTTTATGTTTTTCCTTATGATTCTGTGAATTTGTTAATCAGTATTGCTCTGGTTGGCTTGTAATCAAGCTGCTATTTCTTATTAAAAAACAATTCACAATAAGTCAGTTTTGATTGCATATTTCAGCTAAAAATAAAAATTAATGCTTCGATATAACCTTGTCTCAATGCTACCAATACCTCGACCTCCTTAATGTATGTATAACATTATTGTAGTAAAAGGCTGCTGCACAAATTTCATCTAAATCCAAGTCATACTTTGTAGCTTTTATAGCATCCAATGATAGACTAGGCAAACAGAAATGAGGACTGACTTGGATTTTCATTTAACAAAAATTTTTTTTAAAATTTGGCATAGAAAGCATAAACCTTTTTTGGAATATTTGTCTGAGTGATCTTGTGTGTTTTGTTGTCTTGGTTGCCCCCTCATTATTTTTATCTTAGTGCAATTGTAATAAGAAATACAGACGGATCTTTTAATTATTTATCTACTAAAACTAAGCAATATTACAAAAATAGATATAGTACTATTTCCTAAACATATCACAATTTTAGTATCTTCTAGATATTGACACCTATATTAACAAGATGCTTTTTTTAGAGTGATGTTCAGTAGTCCATAGCGCTGACCCGTTTTATCTTCGAGAACTGTCCCTTTTTCACAATACTGCCAGCTGAAAAAATTCGTAAATCATTTTTAACGGTGAAAAATATACATTTTGAAAAAATCATTTCCATGGCATATCAATATGAGAGACACTGGAAAAGAAATCTATCCAGCCATGAAAAAAAAAACAACTGAAATGCACAGATAGGAGCAGAGGAAAAAGCGCCTGAAGAACTCACCTGTTACCATACATATCCCTGACCACAACCTTGTCAATAAACAGAACTGATGTGTAGAGGGAGATACTGTGGTTACTTGGCATCTCAATGTTAGTGAAGTCTAGGTAGTTCAGCCTTGCTTGGATAGTCTCAACATGCTTATCCATGCTGTTGTACTCTGCTGTTGCTAGACCATTCAAGTGTGTAAATGAATTCGATATGTCTAGGAATCTAGAAAATATATAATAAATAATTGTCATTAAAAAAACACTGATCGACACTATCGGATTTTGATTTAAACAATTAATATTTAGAAATGGCAACAACCTAACTATTATTTTTCGCTAAAAATTGGTTGATGTTTATCTAGAAAATCATGAGACTTGACTAAACAAAGTTTTGTCAAGCAGTAGGACATGATGTGACCTATTTATCAGACGCACGATTATCCTCCTGTTTCTGACACTGTATATTGTGTTGCGCCTAGAAAATGAGACAACGAAATATCAATGTGGATGTTTTTACTTTTCAAATTTAAAACTCCAAACCTGTGCCATGGAAGTTTGGCTTCAATCAAATGTGAGGGAAATAACTGTTATTTTCCTACATGGACAATTCGGCATGGCCACGTTACATCGGTTTACTGGTTAAATCCTATCGACAGAATATGAGTTCTTTTTAAATATACATATTTTAAAAAGGTATTTTTCAAACTCCCATGAGCGAAATAATGAGGATGATTACCCTTGGAAAATGGATGTGAATAATAATTTATCCTTCAGCAATGCACTTTCGTATAGGTAGCTCCTGTTGGCATACGTTTTAAAGATCAAATATTTGTGGAGACGTCTCTGATCCTAATGTTTTTTTCCTATTCAAATATCCATACCAGAGTCTATACTTACTTGCATTGTATTTGGAAAATGACGCTGTGATTTGAATAAAATAGTTGTAGCTGTAAAACGCCATTCACTGGGCCAGTTTTGGGCGATAGCTGAACTGATGCCTGCAGCTGGGTACCTAAAAATATAGGTTATTATAAAAGAAGAAAATTGTAATTTAGAAAAACACTTAGGGCGTATATTTGCAATAAACCGATGAATGTTAGCTTTCGTCAAATTTTATAAACTAATTACAACCTAAGCAATAACCATTTTCTGTTGCTGGCATGGACTTGTACGTACCAGTATGATTCAATACTACAGCTTTCTGCCAGTTTCGAAAATTTTCAACATTACTTCAATATTTGTTTGAAACATATCAATGCTACATGACGATATTTTTGTATTCAGTATTAATTCAACAATATTTAGGTTTCTACAGAACAGAAGAAAGAAGTTTTTTTGTAAAAGTTGGTACCACTAGTTTCGACAGTTTTCTTTTGATTGCTTAAAAACATGTGATTATAGGCATATTTTCACACTACTAGAGGGCAATTCGATATTCTCAATAATAAGCCAAAACAATTTTGAAAAGCTGTCAAAAATGACATTAGACTGTTCTGTTTTAGACTTTCAAAATTCTATAAAATAATACTTTCCACAAATTTTATGAGCATCCAATCCCTGAATAACAACACGACTCTACTTTCAACTATATTTTGTCACTTGATTACCACAGTTAGCAATTGTATTATGGTTGTGAATTATTTTGACTTGACTCTTCACTGCAAGGATTATCAAAATTACCGCAAACTGGGTCAAATCGATTTAAATATGGTTACACGTGTAGGTGTTTTCAAGTAACCGATGCACTGGACACAGATTCAAATTCTCAAAAATGCTTAGCGCATTCAAAGCACGTATGACATCTCTGACGATCCACAAAAATAAAATCTCATATTTCCTTATGGCTTTTAATGATTCCAAAAGGTCCTTGTTGTTACTTTCAACCTTGGTGTCAGGTAGAATTTTCGACCTAGCGGTGAGCGACAAGCGGGGACCGGACGTTATCGGATTATCGCTGTTTCCACTGGTAACAATAAAAAAAAGCACTGCCCAGCTGAATATTTCTGCCAGCACAAACGTTGATCGTTCTGCCAACGTTGCGTTATGTCATCACGATAAATAGACGCGTTCGATTTAATGGAGTATTTGGTACTATACTACAACTATTTAAAACTGTAATGACTCATACGCGTGATCAACACGTGATCAGAGCTCGATCCCGGCTTCCTTCCAGTACAGCCGTATAGCGTACAACATATGTCGTTTCTGTGGCTTTGCGGTGGTCAACAGCACAGACAGAGATGGAAATAATGGCTGATTGTTCTCCGCCGGTAGAACCAATGAAAACAAAGACGCGCCTCGACCGGCAGACTCATAGGCGTCGGCAACGCATTGGAACGTGTTTCGTTGAGCGATCGCATATTGTGTGTTTTTATAAGAATTGTTGTGTGATTGTTATTGTTGTGGTTTCTGTGGTTACTGTTTTGGTTATACTTAACCATGGAGAGTACAAATGGCACGAGTGGAAGTACTGAAAGCCAGGGAACAAGTAGACGGCTTCGTAAAGCACTGAAGAGGGACGCGAAAGAAATCGTGCTCAACGTGTTCAATTATCTGAACAGAACTATGTCGCAGGGAGATGAACTCGCGCGTTGTGAAAGTATGACAGGCGTTCCAGAGTGGACCATTCGCAGGGTGTAGCATGAAAAGAAGAAAACTGGAGCTACTACTGATCCAAAGTTTAATTTGAAGGGACGAAAGGCCGTTAAATTGGTTGACGATAGCAAAATGGCGTTAAGGCGAACCGTACATTCATTCTTCTTTAGGAATGAGATACCAACCCTCAAGGCTGTACATGCAGCAATCAAGGAAAATGAAATTATACCCCAAATGAGCGTCGAGGTAATGAGGAAATCCCTGCACGAAATTAATTTTCGTTACGAAACGCGTAATCGGAAGTCAGTATTGATAGAGAGACCTGAAATAGTCGCCTAGCGTCGAAAATACCTACGCGAAATGATTGAATATAGGCGACAAAGCAGAAAAATCTATTATTTGGACGAGACATGGGTAAATGCAGGTCACACAGTTAAAAAAACCTGGATAGACAAAAACGTAGTGAGTAACCGACAAGCAAGCATTGAAGGTTTGTCAACAGGTCTTCGTGGACTCAGGAAAAGGTCAAAGATTGATCGTAACTCATATTGGTAGCGATAGTGGCTTTTTAGAAGAGTGTGACTTGATTTTCGTCTCTAAGAAAGGAGGTGATTACCATGACGAAATGAATGCCAGCTGCTTCGAGAGCTGGTTTCAAGGGGTGCTTCAGCGAGTTGAGCCCAACTCTGTGATCGTCATGGATAATGCTTCCTACCATAGTCGTCGAGCCGAACGTGTACCGACTATGGGATCTCGAAAAAGTGACATGCAGCAATGTTTGCGCGAAAAAGGAATCCCGTTTGACGATTCATGTGTGAAAGCGGAATTGTATGAAAAAAATAAACAGCACAAACCTGCGAACATTAGTTACAAGACTGATGAGATGGCCCGTCAATGTGGTGTCACTGTGCTGCGGTTACCGCCCTACCACTGTGAACTGAACCCAATAGAGCTCATCTGGGCTCAAGTGAAGGGTTATATTGCGCGCCATAACACAACCTTCAAATTACCAGACGTTAAGGTTTTACTTGAGACTTCCATACAGCTAGTAACGCCCGAAGCTTGGCAGAATGCTATCCGTCATGTTGTGAAGGAAGAAACAAAAATGTGGCAACTTGACCACCACATCGACACCATCATAGAGCCAGTTATAGTCAATTTCAACGAGGAAAGCGATAGCGACAGTTTATTACTGTCAGATGTAAGTGGAAGCGACGATGAATAAAGGTAATTCCCAAATTTTTGACTTATGTTTCAAACCACTCTTTATTAAGCATGTGACAAATCTAGTTCACCCATGTTAAACATTCATACCTCGCCTATGAACAGCCGACTACTGGTAGTTAAGTGATGTTCACGTGAACATCGATGAGTCATTACAGTTTTAGATAGTTATAGTATAGTGCTGCCACAATGCTGTTTCAGTTTTTAAGATTTGCTAATAATTTCCCTTAAAGCTTCCACTATAGTTTCTCGGAGTGAGCTGGCGAGTCGACATTCCAACAGAAAATAATTTTAGGTCTAGGGTTACATGATCTCAGATGCTAATATTTTTAGATCCCTTGGTTTTATGCCGATGGGAGTTTCTTTGGGATAAGACAAACCAAAAAGGTCTACCAGAGGCAATTAAAATTTTAAACGATAATATTTGCCTGGGCTTCGTTTTCTTATAAAGCCCTACAATTCTGTACCCCAGAGCCAGAGTAGGTTAAGTTCATTTTTGTCAAAAATGGGTTTAATATGTTAAGCTTTTAAATTTTCATTTGCTACATGCAGCGTCCATCTACCTGTAATAAAAGTTACGACTTTTTAACTCATGTCAAGTCGCATACAATACAATGCACGAAAAATATTTCAAATTATCTCAAAACTACTTATTTGAACTTAACCTAGTCTGGCTCTGAGGTACAGAATTTTGTAAATTTTGGTTTGATACCATCCTCTAAAAAGATAATGAGTATCTGAATTTGCTTATACTTACCACAGAATTGACTAGAATCTTTGGTAGAAAAATACATAACTCCTTCCCCTTTGACATCCTCCCCGAATCGTCCGATATCAAACCTATACGAGGGATCCAAGGAAGAAGACTCATTTCTTTCCAGTTGTGGGAAGCAGTGTCCGTTTTCAAAGGATTCGATGCCTCCAGGGCAGTTGTAAGCGGTGAAATCACATGCGGTTTTGTTTTCTTTTTGTTTCGCTACCATGTTGACGAGAGATTCTTTGAATAGGAGGAAAGCTCGGATGTGACTGCAGACTATTTCTCTGGATAGGCCCCTTTCTGAAGTTGGAGAAGAAAATAACTCAAAAATTGATTGTGTACACTCTTACTGCTATGGAGATATCAATTAAATTTTATTGGAACGAGTTATTACAAACCTATCAATCGTCAAAAGAATGTAAAATGTCACCTTGAAGACTAGGTAGTTTTTAGGGTGCAAACAGTCATTCCAGGTTTGCTCACTAGGATCGTTGTGAGCGTCCATCTATGGAGGAATAGCTTAACTAAACTGAATCCAAATTCAAGATGAGATGTAAATAATAACAGTTAGCGCGTGATCTCTCGGTAACAGGTGGGGACAACGCGCCTTATTGGTCAATTCGCCATTAAATTTCAAGCGGTCGCCTGGCGGAATAATGCGTGGGGCAGGGGCAGGGCAGGCAGAGTTGCACTCAGGCCACCGTCCGTCGCGTGTATCACTGCGTGCTCGTGTTTTCGTATTCACCTTGCTTGGTTGTTGTTGTTAAGTGTATTTGAGTAATTTGTTAAGTTTCTGTGTCTGTTAAATACTGTCATCTTTGTTTTACAACACGTTGATGGTAGTCCATCATTCGGAGGTAGCCCTGAATGCGGCCCTGTACGCCATCCTTGCTTTTGGCAATCACGCATCGATTCTATCTTGGGTGAAAATACACTATACATGGATTGTTGGTTGCATATGTTTTGTGAAGCCGAGTAGTCTGAGAAGAAAGTTGGTTAAACAGCAAGGTTGCAAAAAAATTTGAAAAAACGATTAAATCTTTGTTTGAGTCGATAGAACGGTCGATATAATTTAATGTTTAAAGATTATTTCATGTAAATGTTGGCCGCGGCTCCGCTTTAGATGGCCCATGCGCAAGGTCCAATTTTGGCACACTCTCTCCAACATATCGGCCGGTATCTCACGAATAAATGCTTCAATATTGCCTTCCAGTGCGTCAATCGTTGCTGGTTTATCCGTGTAGACATTAGCCTTGACATGAAATAGTCCAACGGCGTTAAATCACACGATCTAGGCGGCCAATTGACGGGCCCCAAACGTGAGATAAACTATTCACCGAACTCGCCTCTCAATAGGGCCATTGTTTCGTGTGCGGTGTGGCTTGTGGCACCGTCTTGTTGAAACCACATGTCAGCCAAGTCCAGCTCTTCCATTTTGGGCAAAAAAAAGTTTTTTATCATCGCACGGTAGCGCTCGCCATTCACAGTTACGTTCCGGCCATTGTCGTCTTTGAAGAAGTACGGCCCGATGATGCCACCAGTCCATAATCCACACCAAACAGTGTTTTTTTCGGGATGCATTGGTAGCTATTGCAATGCTTCTGGCTGGTCTTCACTCCAGATGGGGCAATTTTACTTGTTAACCTACCCATTCAACCAGAAATAAGCTTCGTCACTGAACACAATTTTTCGATAAAAATGTGGATCTTCCTCCAACATTGCCAGCGCCCATTCACCAAATTGGAAACGTTATGGAAGGTTGTGTGGCTTCAATTCTTGCACCAGCTGTATCTTGTAAGGTTTTACACCCAAATCCTGTCGCAAAATTTTCCACGTAGTGGAGTAACAGAGGCCCAATTGCTGCGAACGGCGGCGAATCGACATTTCACGGTCATCACTAACACTGGCGGATACAGCCGCAATATTTTCTTCAGTCCTCACTCTACGTCTGCGTGTTGGTGGTTTAATGTCCAATAATGTACACTGGGTTCGAAATTTAGTCACAAGCTTCCGAATAGCTCCCTCAGTAGGCCGACCAAAATGCCCATAAATTTGAAGCAGTGCTTGATGCACTCTCTTAACCGAGCATGAATTTTGATAGTAAAATTCAATAATTTGCAAGCATTGTTCGTTCGTTAAGTCGAGTCATGGTTAAATTATAGACCAAACTGAACAAGTTTGACAATGACACAAGACACGATTCACGCGTCATCTGTCAAAAACAGTGTTGCCAAAAAGATACTAGCAAAAAAATCACCCTATATATGTTGTCTTTTCTGAAGACAAGTTATGTTTGAAGCTATAAATTACGATTTTTACGAGCTATTCAATTCTCTACAGTCGAAAACAGTTTTTAGGTATAGTTACGTCAAATTTGGCACTATTGTGAATATGTGGCAGCCGCGAAATCGACATGCGAACGTCTCACTTTCAGAAGTGCCAGAATCATATTGGCAAACCTCCTAGATATCAAACCACATTCTTGGATTCAAAATCAATTGTGAAAATTTACCGAACAGGTTGGTTGGAAAATAAATGCGAAGATATTAAAATTAAGAAAAATAAAAAAGCCCTCCAAAATTAATAATAACAAAAAAGCCCTCCCCGGCGGGGAATCGAACCCCGGTCTCCCGCGTGACAGGCGGGGATACTTACCACTATACTACCGAGGACTTGTAGGAACTGAACGTACTATGTTTTCACAATCCTTAATGCAAATATCCCAGTTTTAAAAAATATCCTCAGTATTTATCATTAAAATATACATCAAAAAATGTTTTCTGATAAACCTGTTTATTTATAGTTTCATAGTAATAATATTTTCTCCTTATCGTATATTTTATATTGTTGAAATATCATAATTGCTTTATTGTATAAAAAAAAAATGAAAAAAGTTCTCCCCGGCGGGGAATCGAACCCCGGTCTCCCGCGTGACAGGCGGGGATACTGACCACTATACTACCGAGGACTGTGTTTGAATTTGTCCTTCGGGCTTTATTCAGTCTCGCATCGTCACGGACCGATATGCAACGCTATTCATTGGCGGCGTTTCAGTACACAATAGAAGGGAATACGAAAGACATATTTGAATCATATAATTAGAAGATTCGATTTAATAATATATTATAATGTGTTGGTAAGGAAAAATTACTTTGGAGTTGGTCAAATTATTTCAAATTCGCGAGTAATGTTGATTTAAAATCGGAATCAAACATTTTATATACAGGGTGTTTCAGTTTATTGTTGCATAACTTTAAGATTCGATAGAACTTTTAAAATTAATGCATAAAGTCAGGGTGTTTAAATTTACTTTTCAAAATAGTTTTTTTTTATATATTTCGAACAATATTTGATGTATAATAGTGAAAATTGGTATACAAGGGTTTTTTGGTACGACAAAACGAACCATGGGCATAGTTTTACACACACATATTTGAATCATATAATTAGAAGATTCGATTTAATAATATATTATAATGTGTTGGTAAGGAAAAATTACTTTGGAGTTGGTCAAATTATTTCAAATTCGCGAGTAATGTTGATTTAAAATCGGAATCAAACATTTTATATCCAGGGTGTTTCAGTTTATTGTTGCATAACTTTAAGATTCGATAGAACTTTTAAAATTAATGCATAAAGTCAGGGTGTTTAAATTTACTTTTCAAAATAGTTTTTTTATATATTTCGAACAATATTTGATGTATAATAGTGAAAATTGGTATACAAGGGTTTTTTGGTACGACAAAACGAACCATGGGTATAGTTTTACTGTAGCCGCTAGAGGGCGCTCTCTATTGTACCTGTAGTGTATTAAAATGACCAAACATTTTTTCTTAGTGCAACTGTTTGATTTTTGAATAAAAAAACTGATTCTTCGCACTTTTCAACATAAAAAAGCTCTCTTGTGAATTTTCGTTATAGTTAGCCGTTTTTGAGATATTTCGATTTTTAAGTTTCGATGCATTTTTAATTATTTATGATAAAATAACGTTAAAAAGTCAGTATCTCGATAATTTTTAGAAGTAGGCTGCGCCTGCAAATATTTTTTAAATTGAAAGCAGAATAAGGTTAAACGTCAATTAGTTGACAGCTTTGTTGCCTGTTGAAACATGAAACGTTTTTTTGCAATTGTGAATGCACAAAATTTAGTTTCTTTTACCTGTTTTTTTTGTAAGTTTTATAAAAATGCCATTTTTATTCTCCAATCAAGAGTTAGCGGATATTCATTTTGTGTATGGCTTTGTAAATGGAAACGCAGCAGAAGCAGCCAGAGAATACGCACGAAGATTTCCAAACAGACGACATCCAACTCGCTCAGTATTTGTAAGAGTGCATCGCCAAATAATTGAAAATGGTTTTGGAAATCTCCAAAGGGATCAAAACATAAATCGTTCGTCAGCGCAGATTTACCCGTATGATTCTGCGTGAGTTTGATAGAGATCTGATCACAAGTGTTAGGAGAGTTTCTGGTGCCTTGGGAATTTTAGCAAGCTATGTTCACCGTGTTCTTAGAAATGACCATAGACGTCCTTACCATTCGCAACCTGTGCAAGGACTACAGCCAGGGGACGGAGAACGAAGAATCACATTTTGTCAGTGGATTCTTGATAGAACTGATAATAATAGGGAGTTTTTAAGTAACGTTTTATGGACCGATGAGTCATGCTTCACTAGACGTGGAGTGGTAAATTTTCATAATCAACATATTTGGCCGCATGTAAATCCGCATGCAGTTCGGGAAAGAAATTTTCAGCATGAATTTAGTGTGAACGTGTGGATTGGTATCTACCGTAATCGAGTATTTGGACCCTACCTTTTGCCTGCAAGGTTAAATGCTGGGACCTTCTTGGAATTTTTAAAGGCTGAACATGCAAATATGTGGGATGATGTTATGTTAGATTTAAGAAGATTGGCCTGGTTCCAGCTTGATGGTTGTCCAGCTCATTATTCGAGAATAGTTAGAAACTGGCTGGACGAAAATTATGCAGAAAGATGGATCGGCTGTGGAGGACCAGTCGCCTGGCCTCCACGATCCCTTGACCTAAATCCATTAGATTTCTTTGTGTGGGGATTTCTAAAAGAAAAAGTGTACCAGACTCCCGTAACCACAAGAGATATGCTAATAGACAGAATCAGGAATGCATGTGATGAAATAAGGCCTTATTTGAATAATGCTATACCACGTTCGATCATTCGTAGATGTGAATTGTGTATTGAACAATTGGGTTTACATTTCGAGCAACTACTTTAGATTTTGTATGTTTGTCCTAACTATGCAATAGCATTTTAGTTGTAAATAATTAATTTGATTTGTTAAAAATAATATTGGAAAATTAAACAAATTAATATTCTGTTTTTTTGTGTTTATTTGGAGTTAGGAATTATTGCTGTGTTTAAAAACGCAATCTAAACGATCATCTTAATTACTTGTAATGCCCAAATCGAAAATGTAAAAAAAAATATTATTTTCATATAAATAATTAAATATCTGAAAAACGGCTAACTATAACGAAAACTCACAGGAGAGGTTTTTTATGCAGAAAACTGCGAAGAATCAGTTTTTTTATTCAAAAAGCAAAAAATTGCACTAAGAAAAAAATTTCGGTCATTTTAATACACTACAAGCCCATGGTTCGTTTTGTCGTACCAAAAAACCCTTGCATACCAATTTTCACTGTTATACATCAAATATTGTTCGAAATATTTAAAAAAAACTATTTTAAAAAGTAAATTTAAACACCCTGTATTTCGGAAGCCACGCATTTTTCGACCCATGTTTATATAGACTTTATGCATTAATTTTAAAAGTTCTATCGAATCTTAAAGTTATGCAACAATAAACTGAAACACCCTGTATACTTACCGAATTGTGTAACTATGATGGAATCTCTGACATCATGGCAACCGGGTTGTTCTTGCCCTCCATTGGGATAGAAATCAACGTGTCCTATTGGATCCCATAGCCCAAAACCGTCTGTTACCGACTGGAAACACAAAATTCATATTATTCCTGGACTCTTACAAATATAATAAAAGTACTTCAAACGAATATAACATTATAATCGACCACTGTCTTAAGAATGAGCAAATGGGCACTCTCATAGTGCCGATGACATAAACACTTACCGGGCTTCCGTCGGTGTGTATAACATCAACAAACTTGGCATCGCTGCGATCTAGTTTCTTATACTGTTCTCTCAAGTAGTTTCCTCTGAATAACGGACTTGCTGGATCTAGACCTAAAAATATAGGATTGTTTGAGTTAGCTCGGAAAAACAGATGAAAGGAGATGAACTTAGGAAGCACCTGACAGCACATGGTACTTCTTGCATAAATTATGCCAAGAACGGCACATGAATATAGATCTTTCCACTGGTAAGTATTATGGATATATTGATAAACGTTGTCTCTTTGGTAAGCAATGGTAGTTAAATGTTTTAGTATGCACTAAAACCACAGAATTTTGGCGACAAAAAGACAATGTAACATAAACATATAGGCTTGGGTACTTTTGATCTATTCGAATTCCTTGGATTAACTAGAGCTTTCTGTAGTACGGATGAATTTATTCTGCATTCATTTTAAAACTTTTAGTTTGTTGTTTGATGTCTAAGTCTGTACTGTTTTTTTTTTATTTTATTTTAGTCAGATTTGACTTGTGTGTCTTTGACCTCTGCAAGTACATATGTACAAATGTATGGGCTCCAATAAATATGGATTTGACGGAGTACGAAGTACCCCATTCCACAGATTTTGAGCTGATAACTGACAACCGTTAGAAACGTACTAAGGTTGAGGAAAAGACATTCAAATAATCGAGGATACTTATATTGATTTCAATACACATTTATGAAGCAGTGGTGTATGCTAAGCAGTTTCTAAATTGCCGCACACTGACTATGAAACAAGAAGTGCTGGGAACTTAAATATTCCTTTTCTGAGATTATCAGGAAGTCAAAAGTTTGCTGAAAATGGTTGTTATTCATACCAAGATTTCTTGGATTGCAAATTTTATTATGTGCTTTAACTGTTGTTGACTTTCAAATTATTTTGTTTTATTTTACTCTATCCTTTTATACTTTATAATTGTGACGTTTTACATAATTCATATATATATATAGGTGAAAAATTAAAGCTTCCGCCTTTTGTTGGGTACTTCGACAAAATTTAAGCAAAGAGGACTCTTTATACTTTTTTTTAATTCTCTCTAGCTTTCAATGGACTTTGCCATCATCATCAGGAGAGTAGTATGTGAGGATGTTACTAATTGTTGTTTACGTATAGGATGAGGGAAACGTCCAGTAACATGGTGAGAGCTGGATAGATTGTACAATGGTCAAAATTATATAAAATATGACAAGAACAAGTTAAAAACAGATTAAAAATTATTTAAAAAACATTAGAGCATTACATCGTGAAGCCACTTGATGATTGCACAAATTAGTGGTCATGGAATAATGACCAATTATTTGGTCTGGTCTAGACGACAATGACCACGTCTCAAGTTATATATATATATATATAATATAGGGAACACATAGTCGACGAATAAAAAACTGGAATCCGAGATTTTGCAATAGTTGATAGTTTTTCAAGTTCTTCCAAATCAGTCAGTGTTGCATGAATAAAAAATTTTAAAGATTTTTAAAAACATATGATTTGCCATTTATTAATAAAATAATTCCGTTCTAAACGAACCTCATCGGTCCAGTTTTTTATTCGTCGACTATGTGTTCCCTTCACTGTCGTTTAAGAACAATTTCAGCAACAATCTCGCCGACTTAGTAAGTAATTATATATTTTTTCCTCCTAATTGTTTATTGTTACTATTTTTAAAAAATTGTTTCCAGCTCCAGACGATGAGGGCATAGACCTTCGAAAGCTCGAGCTTAAGTTATAAGAGTATGCTTATGCAATACTTTGCCCTCTACCCAAAGAAATTCAAGGATATTTTTTCCTAACAGTTAAGGTCATTAACTATGAATACTACTCATATATATATATATATATATATATATACAGGGTGACTTCGAAGTTGAGTCATTTATTTTAACAGTGAGTAGATCTGATCAAAAGAAATGTTTTTTTCCTTTAACATTTTTGTGGTAAAATTAAAGTAACAAAGTTATAGCCCTTTAGAAGTTTGAGTACCGCCCTGTCTCAATAATAATATTATGTGCTCGTGTTTGGCAACAACGTATATAATCCGCCTTATCGGTTCATCGCATCGGAAACAAAAAAGCGAAAGAATTTGAAACGCTGATCACGATGTTTTTATTCAGTCAATGTGTCAGTCGGTAACGCGTGAGTGAATAGTGGTGTTTGCTGCGTGGCTCAAACAAAATAAAAAATCGCACATGTTTATGCGGATCGGTTTCCCAATCGAGTGCAACCAACCCCTCGTGCCTTTGTTAATGTAGTACAACGGGCTCGTGAATCAGGTGACTTAAGACCTCACAGGGGAGGGCATGCCGGTGCTCCAAGACCTCACGATCAAATACAGGTCCGCACTGAAATACTTGTCGGGAGGATACTTTGTAAAACAAGGTAAACATTTTTTTTAATTTTTTTTTATTTTTATACACATATTTTGGTTTATCTTCCTTATACAATCATTATCTGAAAATTAATGACTCAACTTCAAAGTCTCCCTGTATATATATACATATATAGGTATATATATATATATATATATATACAGGGTAGCCATCCATGTGTGGACGGAAATATTACTCATAAACAAATACATTTTAAGGAAATCTATTAATGGCCTGTTATACATGATATGTGAGGGCACATTTCTAAAATATTGGCAATTATACAGGGTGTCCCAGTTTTGACCTATATATCAAAGTTGTGATTTCTTAAATGGAATGCCACAAATTTTATTGCATATTTGGATAAACCAATTCTAAAGAAGAAAATTGATATAACATACTATGGGATTTTGGTAATTAGCTACTGAGATGTAAGGTGTTTTGTCCAGAAAAACCGTCCACTTCGTCAAACCCTCAATCCGCCATTTTAAAATTAGAAGTTCCGAATTTTGTATAAAAATAAACTGACATACCTCAGCTTTTATCTTATTTGTCTCTTTTTCGAATTTTCATTTTTGCTCATACAGGGTGGTCAAAAACGCAAGTTATACTTTTTCTCGAACATTTCAAATGAATCACCCTGAGTATTTGTACAAGTTTGGATTCAATTTTTATAAGCTTTTTTTAGGTATGATGTTTAATTCAGATAAAAATACTAAATTTTTGAGTTATTAAGCTTTTAATAGAACACACCAAAATTAAAGAAAAAAATCACAACATCCATGGAAACAAAAGATAAACAGTGGGCTAGTTCCATATTGCCACTAAGAGTACAGATTTGACGTGAAAACTAACAACAATCAAAACAGTATGAATCAGCTTCAAGCGTAATAGAGAAAAACAACTATAACAACAACATCAACAACTAACACTAATCAAGACATAATCTACAGAAACTGCTCGAAAATATCTCCAACATGTTGAATACACAGCCGTAGTCTTTGGATAAATGACCGTCACAGAAGTTCTGCATAATATATCAGTTTCTACTCCAATTTGCCGTGCACTGTCCTGCAACTTCAATAGAACCTCCAACTGATTCGCCTAGTTGATGACACTTGGATTATTTATACAATATTCCACTGTTCCGCTTGATCCAAAACATTCTCGTAGTGTGGGAAATGTTTCCGGCCTTGGATGTCGCATAATAGAGTACCGTTGTTTATAAATGCGAGATGCTAGGAAACTATTTCTTAGGGCTTCGCCCAAAACGAACACCATATTCAACATTTCTTCTTTATAAAAATTCATTTTCAAACACGTTTTTATTATAATGGTCAAAAAGCTAATTTTGACAGTTTGCATCTAATCAACAATTTATTTGTTTCCAAGGATGATGCGATATCTTAGGGAATTATGCCGTCCCATAAAAGACGTGCTAATAACTGAAAAAATAGCCATAAAAACCCTTATGTGTCTAGTATCAAATAAAAGCTTATATAAAATTAAATCCAAACTTACACAAATATACAGGGTGATGCATTTGAAATTTTTGGGAAAAACTACAATTTGCGTTTTTGACCACCCTGTATGAGCAAAAATCAAAATTCGAAAAAGTAACAAATAAGAGAAAAGCTGAAGTGCGTAAGTTTTTTTTTGATACAAAGTTCAGTACTCCAAATTCCAAAATGGCGGACTGAGGGATTGCTGAAGTGGGGGGGTTTTTCTAGACAAAACACCTTATATCTCAGTAGCTAATTACCAAAACCCCATAGTATGTTATATCAATTTTCTTCTTTTGAATTGGTTTATCCAAATCTGTAATAAAATTTGAGGCGTTCCATTTAAAAAATCACAACATTGATATGTAAGTCTAAATTGGGACACCCTGTATAATAGCCAATATTTTAGAAATGTGCCCTCAAATGTCATGTATATCATCCCATAAATAGATTTTCTCAAAATGTATTTGTTTATGTTTATTCCGTCCACACATCTATGGGCCATCCTGTATATATATATGAGTACATGTATGCGATCTGCATTGTACGCTGTAAAATTTTGTTACAGAGTGACGTGTGTAAATACTGTATGTACAATAACGCCAATAAAGTATTGTAGTATAATAATTGTCAGTAGTAGAAATTTCTCATACATACAGAGCCCGCTCAATGAGGTTTGACTGTATTATTTCTCTACAGTGGACAACACCACGTTTTTTTCAGTTTCCATCATCCCTAGAGCTTGTATCAGCTTACCTGTTATTCTGCCCAACAACAATCCCCGGTTCTTCAACGACTCCGAAGCGGTACCAGCTACGTGAGCCCCAAGAGAGAATCCAATAAGATGGATCTTTCTGACGTCGAGTCCTTTCTCTACCATTTTGTTCAGCAAAATGCCCAATTGCCTGCCCACAAGCTCAGTGTTTGCAGCTGCCACTGCGTACTGTGGACCTCTCGCTCCTCTGTGCCAGTCCATCAGAATCACGTTGCAATCGTACTGTGAAAAATTGGAGTTATTATTTCTCGATATAACACGTTCACCGAATTTTGATTCCGCAAAGTTGGGGTTTTCCTTTACACGACGTGTAGATCTTGAAAACATAAGCAATTTTTCTTAGTACCATATACACCAATGCCTTAAGGGAACCGAGATAAAGGGCTCTGCAACATTAAAAATATCTGAATACCGTCCTGTAGCCGCGACAGGGGACATCACCGATTGGTACAAGGTCTCAACCCGGCGGCAGAACTGGGGCGGGGTCAGTGTGTCAGGTTAGTATGCAACCTTCAACCGACGGTTACGGTCACGCGTGTAGAGGTAAACGAACTCGTATAATCGATTGCGTTTCAAAAATCAACAAGCACTAGAGACGTGGCTAGAGAAGTGCAAGTATCAAAAACTAAAGTGTGGCAAACGCTGCGTGAAGAGGGGCTGTATCCGTTCCACGTCCAACGTGTACAAGCCCTTCAACCTGACGATTTTCCAGCAAGAGTGTGGTTTTGCGAGTGGTTGTTGCATCAACATGACAATAATCCGGACTTTTTGAAGTGCATATTGGTGACAGACGAATCTACGTTCACGCGTAACGGGGTGAATAACTTTCGCAACACTCATGTTTGGTCAGTAGAAAATCCGCACGCTGTCCGTCGGGCACGTTTTCAACAAACATTTTCGGTGAATGTTTGGGCTGGCATGGTGAACGTTATGCTCATTGGACCATTTATTCTCCCAAATCGATTGGACGGGATGCAATACCTAGACTTTTTACGCAACATTTTGCCTTCCTTGTTAGAAGATGTGCCAATAAGTGTAAGACAATCAATGTGGTTTCTGCGTCTGCTCGGTAGCGCTTCAGCTGATTTCATTTTCTGTTGGAGCGGTATGATTTCGGGCAGAGACGTACTTAGCCCATCTCGTCAACTGGAGAGTGAGTACTTTTTCCTTTATTTTTTTTTTACTTGGTCACCCTCGTTTCACTACACATTACCTTTGTTATTTGAAGGGTAGTTGTTTCTGAAAAGGAAAACCCCAACTTTGCGGACACCCTGTATATCGATTGTTTCATGAGCTGTGTGGCTTTGAAACCACATATTAATGTCTGACCAGAAAACTGACGTTGCAACATGTATATGTAGCGATCTCCGTTGACTAATGTGACGGTCATTTTCACCAAAAAAAAAAAATCGCCCAATGATACCAACGGCATACAGTTATTTTTTGTGGATGAAGTGGTGTCTCTTGAAGCACAAGAGGGTTTTCATCGGACCAATAACGCATATTCTGTTCGTTGACGAAACCGTTTAGCCACAATGCACTGAAGATGATTTTGCGATGAAATCGGTCATTCTCCTGAAACATTTCTTCACGTCAGTTTGTATGATCGAACGGCTTTAGTTCTTGAGTTAACTTGAACTTATAAGGGTGCGGGCCAAGATCTCTTCGCCAAATTTGCCATAGTGTGGTCTGAGCGACGCCCAATTCTTGAGAACGTCGTGGAATCGACGTGTTTCTGTACGTTTGCGATGGAAGCTTGAACGGCAGCAATATTCTCGGCACTTCGACCAACCCGTTGTCTCGCTGGCACGGGAACATCCAGCATCGAATATGTGGACTAAAATTTTTTACTAGACTATGAACTGCTTGTCTACTGGGACGAGAATTACGACCAAAAATTGGCGTTAACGTTTTAATTATTTGTAAGCGTTGTTCGTGCGTGTACTTCACCATGATGAAAATGTTTTCTTTACTGAATGTTTTGACATTGACAGTTCGGTAATTGATTTAAAGGTGCGTTTACAGTGAAAGTTCAAAGTTGTCAAGTACCTACTGGAAAACTCAATTCTAGGGAGTGACCATAACATTCTGTTTTTTTATCAAGTATTTAAACTTTAACATGACACAAGCAAATATACCAGCTAATCTGCCATATTTGTTCAGATTTCTTTGCATTCATACAAGTGGAGAGTTTAAAGCACCAACATTAGTTCTGCAAAACGGAATATTGAAGTATGTGCAGTGTCTAAGACTCACTATTATCGGTACGTTTATATTTATATTTATTTTCAATGAAAGGTAAAATCAAAGAAAACCTACATTAGATAACACCTTTTTCTTAGCCAGAGATACAATTTTGAAATGTTCCATTATCAATACAAATCCTGATTATGGACAATGAGCGAAAGAGAGATAACTATGTATAAACGCATAATATAGGGATAACAAAGTAACAGGAGTGTTGAAGTATAGTATCTAGATAAAGCCAAGCATCTTATTCGCCTTATTTATGGTTTGATCTATACAGGGTGTTTCAGTTTATTGTTGCCTAACTTTAAGATTCGATCGAACTTTTAAAATTAATGCATAAAGTCTATATAAACATGAGTCGAAAAATGCGTGGCTTCCGAAATACAGGGTGTTTAAATTTACTTTCTAAAATAGTTTTTTTTTTAATATTTCGAACAATATTTGATGTATAACAGTGAAAATTGGTACACAAGGGTCTTTTGGTACGACAAAACGAAGCCGCTAGAGGGCGCTCTCTACTGTACCTGTAGTGTATTAAAATGACCGAAAATTTTTTCTTAGTGCAATTTTTTGCTTTTTGAATAAAAAAACTGATTCTTCGCACTTTTCAACATAAAAATACTCTCCTGTGAGTTTTCGTTATAGTTAGCCGTTTTTGAGATATTTCGATTATTAAGGTTCGATGCATTTTTAATTATTTATGGGAAAATAATATTTTTCTTACATTTTCGATTTGGGCATTACAAATAATTAAGATGATCGTTTAGATTGTGTTTTTAAACACAGCAATAATTCTCAACTCCAAATAAACACAGAAAAACAGAATATTAATTTGTTTAATTTTCCAATATTATTTTTAACAAATTAAATTAATTATTTACAACTAAAATGCTATTGGATAGTTAGGACAAATATACAAAATCTAAAGTAGTTGCTCGAAATGTAAACCCAATTGTGCAATACACAATTCACATCTACGAATGATCGAACGTGGTATAGCATTATTCAGATAAGGCCTTATTTCATCACATGCATTCCTGATTCTGTCTATTAGCATATCTCTTGTGGTTACGGGAGTCTGGTACACTTTTTCTTTTAGAAATCCCCACACAAAGAAATCTAATGGATTTAGGTCAGGGGATCGTGGAGGCCAGGCGACTGGTCCTCCACGGCCGATCCATCTTTCTGGATAATTTTCGTCCAGCCAGTTTCTAACTATTCTCGAATAATGAACTGGACAACCATCAAGCTGGAACCAGGCCAATCTTCTTAAATCTAACATAACATCATCCCATATATTTGCATGTTCGGCCTTTAAAAATTCCAAGAAGGTCGCAGCATTTAATCTTGCAGGCAAAAGGTAGGGTCCAAATAGTCGATTACGGTAGATACCAATCCACACGTTCACACTAAATTCATGCTGAACATTTCTGTCCCGAACTGCATGCGGATTTTCATGCGACCAAATATGTTGATTATGAAAATTTACCACTCCACGTCTAGTGAAGCATGACTCATCGGTCCATAAAACGTTACTTAAAAACTCCCTATTATTATCAGTTCTATCAAGAATCCACTGACAAAATGTGATTCTTCGTTCTCCGTCCCCTGGCTGTAGTCCTTGCACAGGTTGCAAATGGTAAGGACGTCTATGATCATTTCTAAGAACACGGTGAACATGGCTTGCTGAAATGCCCAAGGCACCAGAAACTCTCCTAAAACTTGTGGTCGGATATCTATCAAACTCACGCAGAATCATACGGGTAAATCTGCGCTGACGAACATTTATGTTTTGATCCCTTTGGCGATTTCCAAAACCATTTTCAATTATTTGGCGATGCACTCTTACAAATACTGAGCGAGTTGGATGTCGTCTGTTTGGAAATCGTGTGTATTCTCTGGCTGCTTCTGCTGCGTTTCCATTTACACAAAATGAATATCCGCTAACTCTTGATTGGAGAATAAAAATGGCATTTTTATAAAACTTACAAAAAAAAACAGGTAAAAGAAACTAAATTTCGTGCATTCACAATTGCAAAAAAACGTTTCAGGTTTCAACAGACAACAAAACTAACTGTCAACCAATTGCCGTTTAACCTTATTCTGCTTTCAGTTTCAAAAATATTTGTAGGCACAGCCTTCTTCTAAAAATTATCGAGATACTGACTTTTTAACGTTATTTTATCATAAATAATTAAAAATGCATCGAACCTTAAAAATCGAAATATGTCAAAAACGGCTAACTACAACGAAAATTCATAAGAGAGCTTTTTTATGTTGAAAAGTGCGAAGAATCAGTTTTGTTATTCAAAAAGCAAAAAATTGAAACTAAGAAAAAAATTTCGGTCATTTTAATACACTGCAGGTACAGTAGAGAGCGCCCTCTAGCGGCTATAGTAAAACTATGCCCATGGTTCGTTTTGTCGTACCAAAAGACCCTTGTATACCAATTTTTACTGTTATACATCAAATATTGTTCGAAATATTTAAAAAAAACTATTTTAGAAAGTAAATTTAAACACCCTGTATTTCGGAAGCCACGCATTTTTCGACCCATGTTTATCTAGACTTTATGCATTAATTTTCTATCGAATCTTAAAGTTATGCAACAATAAACTGAAACACCCTGTATAGATGAAACCATAAATAAGGCGAATCAGATGCTTGGCTTTATCTGGATACTTCAACAATCCTGAAACTTTGAATTTAAGTTTACTAAAGAGTGAGGTTAAGATTCAGTACTGACGTTCGATCCACGTGGCCCACTATGTTTCTATATCCAAAACTTAAAAGACATCCCTCGTAGCATAAACTTGGAAATTTATGTCCAAAGCATCGAAAACGCAGTCAGAAAAATAAAGCAAATTGGTATCCAGGCGCCTTTTTCGGAAAAAAATCCGTGCTCTTTCTAAATGATTACGTTTTTTACATCGAAAAGGATTTCGTTAGAATATGCACAGCGTGCCAATAGC